AATGAAATGAACAAGATGTGCTTTAACTGCAGACTTTCAGTTTTAATTTGAGGGTATTTAAATCCAAATCAGGTGAACGGTGTAGGAATTACAACAGTTTGAATATGTGCCTCCCACTTTTTAAGGGACCAAAAGTAATGGGACAGATTAACAGTCATAAATCAAACTTTCACTTTTTAATACATGGTTGCAAATCCTTTGCAGTCAATGACAGCCTGAAGTCTGGAACGCATAGACATCACCAGACGCTGGGTTTCATCCCTGGTGATGCTCTGCCAGGCCTCTACTGCAACTGTCTTCAGTTCCTGCTTGTTCTTGGGGCATTTTCCCTTCAGTTTTGTCTTCATCAAGTGAAATGCATGCTCAATCGGATTCAGGTCAGGTGATTGACTTGGCCATTGCATAACATTCCACTTCTTTCCCTTAAAAAACTCTTTGGTTGCTTTTACAGTATGCTTCGGGTCATTGTCCATCTGCACTGTGAAGCGCCGTCCAATGAGTTCTGAAGCATTTGGCTGAATATGAGCAGATAATATTGCCCGAAACACTTCAGAATTCATCCTGCTGCTTTTGTCAGCAGTCACCTCATCAATAAATACAAGAGAACCAGTTCCATTGGCAGCCATACATGCCCACGCCATGACACTACCAGCACCATGCTTCGCTGAGGAGGTGGTATGCTTTGGATCATGAACAGTTCCTTTCCTTCTCCATACTCTTTTCTTCCCATCACTGTGGTACAAGTTGATCTTGGTCGCATCTGTCCATAGGATGTTGTTCCAGAATTGTGAAGGCTTTTTTAGATGTTGTTTGGCAAACTCTAATCTGGCATTCCTGTTTTTGAGGCTCACCAATGGTTTACATCTTGTGGTGAACCCTCTGTATTCACTCTGGTGAAGTCTTATCTTGATTGTTGACTTTGACACACATACACCTACCTCCTGGAGAGTGTTCTTGATCTGGCCAACTGTTGTGAAAGGTGTTTTCTTCACCAGGGAAAGAATTCTTCGGTACTTCCACCACAGTTGTTTTCCGTGGTCTTTTGGTGTTGCTGAGCTCACCGGTGCGTTCTTTCTTTTTAAGGATGTTCCAAACAGTTGATTTGGCCACACCTAATGTTTTTGCTATCTCTCTGATGGGTTTGTTTTGATTTTTCAGCCTAATGATGGCTTGCTTCACTGATAGTGACAGCTCTTTGGATCTCATATTGAGAGTTGACAGCAACAGATTCCAAATGCAAATAGCACACTTGAAATGAACTCTGGACCTTTTATCTGCTCCTTGTAAATAGGGTAATGAGGGAATAACACACACCTGGTCATGGAACAGCCGAGCAGCCAATTGTCCCATTACTTTTGGTCCCTTGAAAAGTGGGAGGCACATATACAAACTCTTGTAATTCCTACACCGTTCACCTGATTTGGATATAAATACCCTCAAATTAAAGCTGAAAGTCTGCAGTTAAAGCACATCTTGTTCATTTCATTTCAAATCCATTGTGGTGGTGTATAGAGCCAAAAAGATTAGAATTGTGTCGATGTCCCAATATTTATGGTCCTGATTGTAGTTTCCTGAGGTTTTCATATATTGTCAGTTTAGGCTATATGCTATTTACTATCTCTACTTGTGTCCATAGGTATGCACACAGGATGTTCTGTGTGTAACCAGGCACACTCCATTGTGCCCGCTGAGGCTGACAGGAGACGTTAAAGAATCTCCCTGGCCAGTCCCTTGAGAGCCTTCTCTAGAGTCACACTCTAGAGAGAGAACTCCATAGCCAGTGATGTAGGAGGAAGAGCTCAATTGCAATTCTCAAGCAATGTTGCTATGCAGTGAAGTAATCCAAGTACTTGTATATTCTATAGTGACAAACTCCCCTTGTGGCATCGAAATATTACTGGACCCTTTTGGTGGAGGCTAAATAAAACATTCAGCATGTATAGCCTGGCTAGAGGCAGGGCTGGCGCTTCCTATAGGCCAACTAGGTGGCCACATAGGGCACTGCTTAAGGGGGGTGCCGGCACTGACTTTATGATAATTTGTTCCACCCCTCTATCAAGTTTGCTCCATGGCTGCCCCTCTATTATTTCAAGTGTGCCGTCGGCCATGTTACCGGGCACTAGGGAGCATTGTTGCTCACTAGCACCTGGTAGAACACCGGTCCAACAGAATCCATATCAACCATCAGAGCCAGGCCCCCTCCCAGACATCCATTGCGACAGCATTGCTAGGGCGCTTCCATTTCTTGCTCCCACACTTTACCCTGTACATGGGAAAGAAAATGTGCTGAAAAAGGAAGGGATGGGCTGCCAGGCAGAGGAAAAATGGACATAGGAACAGCAATAAAGATAAGATGTGTGTCAGAGAATCTGTGCTAGTCTGCTTCAGTCAGTATGTTTGTGTATTCCAGTCTGTATGGGTCATTGTGTGTCTGCATGGGCCAGTGTGTGTCCTTATGGCTCAGTGTGTATCTGTATGAGTTATTGTTTGTCCGTATGGGCCGTTGTGTGTCTTTATGGGTCGTTTTGTGTCTGTATGGGTCATTTGTGTCTGTATGAGTCAGTGTGTATCTGTATGGGTGATTGTGTTTCTGTATGGATCATTGTGTGTCAGCATGGGTCAGTGTGTGGGTCTGCATGGGTCTGTATGGTTCATGGTGTGTGTCTGCATGAGTCAGTGTGTGTCTATATGTGTGTCTCTGCATGGATCAGTGTGTGTATATGGGTCAGTGCGTGTGTGCTAGTTTGCATGGATCAGTATGTGTTTTTACTTGAGTCAGCGTGTATGTTAGTCTGCATGAGTGGGTGGAGCGAATGAGGCGGCAAAATATTTTTTGCTTCGGGTGGCAAAAATGCTTGCACCACTGCTTGCACTGCTGGCTAGAGGAGTATCAATTATTAAGGATTTCGTAGTGTTGATAATAATATTTGATACTCAGGGATAAAATATATTTTATGAAACTTTAAATCCTTTCAGAACAACATATTAAAGGGACACACTAAGTACCAGAACCATTACAGCTTTATGAAGAGGTTCTGTCTCTCAAATCTAAACACTGACTTTTAGGCTGTAAGAACTCCTAGTGGCTGTCACTTATGGAGATGTTGAGTGGTCCCAATCGAGATGAATTGATTGGTGCAGCATGGCAATTGCCACTTATGTGCATTGGAAAAAGAATTGAATTGGCTGAGCACATCATCACAAAGGAGCAGTAGCCACAGTAAGACTGGTGCAGCGAAGGTGAAAAGGTAAGTAATCTTCCTTAGTTTACTCTTATTTGGGAGGCAGAATTCTAAAATTGCAGGACAACACAATAACAATACATGTTTTTATACTTTGAGAGTGCTCCTTTAAATTCACTTGATTCAGTGCATCAGATTTAAGCAACACAAACACTTATTTTTCTGAATAAAGTTGAGTTAGTTTACACAATATATAATCATTCATATCCCTAATTTATTGTAATAAGAAAAATAAAGTCAATCAAAAATATGTAGAGTGAGAAGAACACCTTTTAATCCTTGATAATCTACTTGCACTCTGAAAAAAAATCGAATACTACCCTCATTACCATTATATTCTTTATTGTACTTAATGGGCAATATAGACCTTACCATGTGGGTTAAATTTGGTATCTCTAAAATATCTCTTCTATTGGACGGTATAAATGTAAGATCCTTCCGAAATCTAGAACAATTATACAAACTGACAAAGGAACAGATATTTAACTATATTAGAGTGAGAGGCTTCATGATCATAACACTACCAAGGGAAATATAATCAGACTCTTTCAAGAAACTTGATACTATTTTAATGATGGGAAAGGGCTGTAACTTGCTTGCGAGATTATTAGAAATAATGAAAGCTATAGGAATTGGTAGTTGGAAAAAAAGATCAACAAATAGATATCAGTCTCACGGATTCTCATGCCTCTCTGCAGACGGTATACTCTGTGGTACACTGTCTAAATTTAATGAAAATGAAGTATAAACTGCTAAATAGATGGTATTTGACACCTGCACGAATGGCAAAAAATGTTCCCAAAAGAAATTTTCTTCTGTGTACTTTGGTCGTTGCTGCCTCCCAGAAATGATGGAAGTCTGAGCGCAGGACTTGTTTTTTTTTTATTTTTATTTACTTTGTATCACACAGCTATGTTACAATGCTGCTGCCCATCCCATGTGTTCCTTATCAGGGGTTAATAAGCATGTAGGGATGCATATAAAAATAATTACCCATTTCTGTCTCATTAGAGATATCTTTGCCAGAAGCTCAAGAAAGCAAGGTGAAAGGTTAGTGTAGGACCCACCTGAGAGGTTTGCCTTGACAAGGCACGTGGGCTAAACTCTCTCATGGCCATTGGGGAAATTAAATAACCTCAATTTGTTTAAATATGCATAGGGCTTTGGGAAGAGCGCAGGTAACTTTTTTTTCTTTGGATTTTATTAGATATTTCTTTATATACATTTCAAAACATTTAAAGTTATTTGACTAGAACATATGACTTTCTAATATATTTCACTATAATAATAGTAATACCATAATAATGATACCATAATATTATTAATAATAATGCCATAATTATGCATTTGCTTTCCATTATGCTCCCTTCTAAATTTACAGCATAAAGAATTTGTAATGGAAAAGAGGGACAGTGATTATATATAAAAAAAAATAAAAAAAAATAAAAAAATTGAGAGCTTATTCATTAAAAAGGTTCATGGAAAAGTCTGAAAACTGCTGCCAAAAAAACCCCAGTCATTAATGGTGCTGCCGTCCTAGCTCTCTGTCAATTATTGGTATAGCCTCTGAACTTTGTACCTGACATTCAGCAGATAAACTATGAAACAATTTATCTATGTCTCCTCTCCATACGCAGAATTTGCCCTGGTTTTGCATTGTCTGAACAAGATTATGTGTCTAAAAAAAGTTTACAACAAATTATAGGTACCGTATTTTTCGCTCCATAGGACACACTTTTTTCCTCCTCAAAAGTAAGGGGAAATGTCTGTGTGTCTTATCGAGGCAATGTGTGTCCTCTGGAGCTGAATCGCCAAGCCAGAGTGCAGGAGCAAAAGGCAGATCCCGGTCAGGAAGCATGTAAGCGTGCGGCATGGAGGAGGGAAGGCTGCAGAAAGGAGGCTGCTGAGGTTCCTGTGTAGGGTCTGTCTGGCGGCACGATGCTTCCCCTGCTCATCGCCTAGCAACTCATCTCACCAGGACAGCAGTGCGCATCTTACCTTACTACTTCAAGCACTGTCTAAGGTAAAAAAGAAGGCACTATATCGTTAAGCCTGTATAGGCACCCATACGCTTATTACATTGAGCCTGGCATATCTCCAGCTTTTTGAGTTTGTTTCTCCTTACTTTGCTGCATTTATTTTGGCTATACACAGAAAGCACTATGTTTTTATTATTTTTATTTCCACAGATATACTGAGCCTGTGCTGTTTAAAAATACATTTAAGTATACCCTGTGTGTACACTTTGGGTGTATGTATTCTTTACTTCTGTTTTTATCTTTCATTGAAGGTGATAGGGGAATACACCTTCTTCACACCCATTTTTTGTTATTTTAATTTTTATCTCTGAACCACCTACCCAAACATTGTCTCTGTTTCTTAAAAAAAACATTGCTGGCTGCAATTCTACATAAGGGGCAAAAAAAAATGGACTTTGTGCATCATATGTATAAAGTATTAATTGAATCCCATTAAGGAATTATTTTTTTGTTTATTTCTGTCTCTTAAGCACTATTAGGATAGTCGGCCATATGTTGTAAATTCTGTTTCTCTAATATGTATGCAATTCTATTTGCTTTGTGCCACCTTAGTGTGTTTTCTGATTGAATTAAGACCATGCTCAGAGATAACACAAATGGTCAGCACTCAGTGGCAAACATTGGAGATACATTACTGACAGTTCCTTCATCACTGTATTTTGTTGCAGAAAACCTCCCCCATTCTACATAAAGCAGAAAAGGATGATAAAGCAGAAAAGACTAGCATATACAATTCCTTTTAAACTAGAGGTAGTAAACTATTCTAAGGAGCATGGAAACAGGACAGCAGAGACATTTTGGGTCACTTCCAACTGGAAATATGGTAAGAGAGTGGAGGAAACAGGAGGATCAGCTGCAAAAAGTGAATAAAAGTAAGCACACTTTTCATGGAAATGCTCCAAAGTGGCCACAGTTAGACATGGCCATGAAAGAATGGATCACACATCACCGAAATAATGGCTTCTCAGTCTCTACAAAAATGATAATATATGAAGCGAAATGCATTGCTGTAGAGAAAGGTATTTATGATTTTACTGGATCACCATTGTGGTGCAACAGATTTATAAGGTGATGTGGCCTTGCTAGGCGCACCAAAAGTAGAATTGCACAAAAAAATGCCAAAAAGATTATGAACATAAGATTCTGTCTTTTCATAAATTTCTAACTGATGCTAGGAAGAAAAATGGGTTTGAAATTGGCCAGATTGGGAATATGGATAAAGTCCCGCTAACCTTTGATGTGCCATCTAATAGGACTGTTATCTGAAAGGTGCCAAAACTATCACCGTGAAAACCTCCAGACATGAGTAAAACCCATTACATGATTGTGTTGTCTTGCTGTGCAGACGGCACCACATTGCCACGCATGTTAATTTTCAAAAGGAAAACATTTCCAAGAGAAGTGATTCCAAGAGAAGTTTTTGTACATGTTTATGAGAAAGGATGGATGGATGAAAATGGATGAGAGTATGGGTTGAAAAAGTGTGGTCCAAAGGTCCTGGAGGGCTTCTGAAAAAAAACTGCCTTATTAGAACTTGACCAGTTTAGAGCACATATTAGCGAAACTACAAAAAAAGAGCTTTAAAGAAGTGAAAACTCATATAGCTGTAATTCCTGGAGGACTTACCAGCCAGTTGCAACCTCTTGACATTTCCATCAACAAACCATTTAAGGTTTTTATGCGAGAAGAGTGGAACAAATAGATGGCTGCTGGTAATCGTGATCTAACACCTACTAGACGAATGAAGAGGCCCACTATCACTCAAGTTTGTGAATGGATGAAAACATCATGGCACTCAGTGAAGGAGGAAATCATTGTACAGTCATTCAAAAATGTGGCATTAGCAATGCTTTGTATGAAAATGAAGATTGTATCTTATATGAAGATGGCAAAGAAAATGATGTCAGTGTTTGTGAGCAACTGAGCTTCATAAATTCTGACTCTAGCAATGATGAGTTCTTGGGGTTCACAGAAAACTAGAAGAGTACTCCAACCTTAAAGTCTCTTCATTTGTTAATGACAGTGATGATGGTTCTTAATGCCACTGTTGACTGCTGTTCACTTTACATGGTTGAAATATTATTCTGATATACTGGTAGTTTATTAAATAGTTTAGTACAGTGCCTTGCAAAAGTATTCACCCCCTTGACTTTTTACCTATTTTGTTACATTACAGCCTTAAGTTCACTGTTTTATTAATCTGAATTTTATGTGATGGATCAGAACACAATAATAAGTTGGTGAAGTGAAATGAGAAAATATATATACATAAAACTATTTTTTAGAAATAGAAAACAGAAAATTGGCATGTGCGTTTGTATTCACCCACTTTGTTATGAAGCCCATAAAAAGCTCTGGTGCAACCAATTACCTTCAGAAGTCACATAATTAGTGAAATGATGTCCACCTGTGTGCAATCTAATTGTCACATAATCTGTCATTACATATACACACATTTTTTGGAAGGCCCCAGAGGCTGCAACACCTAGTAAGAGGCACCACTAACCAAACACTGCCATGAAGACCAAGGAACTCTTCAAACAAGTAAGCGACAATGTTGTTGAGAAGAACAAGTCAGGGTTAGGTTGTAAAAAATATCCAAATCTTTGATGATCCCCAGGAGCACCATCAAATCTATCATAACCAAATGGAAAGAACATGGCACAATAGAAAACCTACCAAGAGATGGCCGTCCACCAAAACTCATGGACTGGGCAAGGAGGGCATTAATCAGAGAGGCAGCACAGGTAACCCTGGAGGAACTGCAGGGTTCCACAGCAGAGACTGGAGTATCTGGACATAGGATGACAATAAGCCGTATGCTCCACAGAGTTGGCAGAGTAGCCAGAAGAAAGCCATTACTTTCATCAAAAAACTAAATGGCATGTTTTGAGTTTGCCAAAAAGGCATGTGGGAGACTCTTAAAATGTATGGAGGAAGGTGCTCTGGTCTGATGAGACTAAAATTGAACTTTTCGGCCATCAAATAAAACACTATGTCTGGCGCAAACCCAACATATCACATTACCCAAAGGACACCATCCCCACAGTGAAACATGGTGGTGGCAGCATCATGCTGTGGGGATGTTTTTCAGCAGCCCGGACTGGGAAACTGATCAGAGTTGAGGGAAAGATGGATGGTGCTAAATACAGGGATATTCTTAAGCAAAAACCTGTATCACTCTGTGCGTGATTTGAGGCTAGGACGGAGGTTCACCTTCCAGTAGGACAATGACCCAAAACACACTGCTAAAGCAACACTTGAGTGGTTTAAGGGGAAACATGTAAATGTGTTGGAATGGCCTAGTCAAAGCCCAGACCTCAATCCAATAGAAAATCTGTGGTCAGACTTAAAGATTGCTGTTCACAAGACTTATCCAAAGCGACTTGGAGCTGTGATTGCTGCAGAAGGTGACTCTACAAAGTACTGACTTTAGTGGGGTGAATAGTTATGCACATTGACTTTTTCTGTTATTTTGTCCTACTTGTTGTTTGCTTCACAATAAAAAAAAACTTGTGAAGCAACAAAACATGAAAAATGCCAAGGGGGTGAATACTTTTGCAAGGCACTGTACACCATTTGATTCAGAATATTTTTTTCTTGTTTTCCTCCTTTAAAAACTAGGTGCGTCGTATGGTCAGGTGGGTCTTATGGAGCGAAAAATAAGATTTTCAATGCTGTATTATAATGGTTTTCAAAAATTAATTATCAACAAAAATTGACATGGATTTGAATGGTGACTTCTGTAGTTACATTATTTAAAATATTTTTCTAACAGACTGTGATTATTTAAAAGGCTTATCCAAAAATATTAAATTGACTCTTAATTATTAAGTTTTTGTTCAATTATATATTTAACTTTTTTAATGGGCCTGCCAGAGGCATTCCATTCCGAATTTTATTAAAACCAGTGTTTGGGAATATTTGTAATCCTATACTTTGTTTAGGATTTGGATGCAAAAGCACTACTTTTAATCAAGACACTGAATGCATCTGGGCGACTGCTGCAGATTCATTTAAATTCCAACCGGAATTTTGTAAATACAATACAATTTACCAAAAATCTTTGGTAAAGAGATACCAAAGTATTATACACCATTCATATAAAACAATTTTTATTATATTTTGAAAACTAATAAAAATCTTAAAAAAATACTTTATACATTTAATAAAGCATGCAATCCTGTATATTCAAAGCATATTTTTGTATTTTCTATATTATAATGGGTAGACTTGCTATGTACAAAATTACTGGTGTTACCTTATTTTCTCTACAGTAATTGGTACATAAAGCAAACCTACTAAATACTGTCCCATCCTATATATTATTTTGAATGAGAGCAATGTTTTACACTGTTTATTAATGCTAATTAAGAAATTGTCTGTATGAAAAATGAAATATAAACATTTTAATGTTGAGTAACCTGCTATGCCATTATATAATGAAAGTTCCACATTCCCTCATTTCAGTAAATGCTATTGGACCAACTTGGTATTAAATTAATGTGCATGGTATACTTCAGGTATTCCAGGAAATCCAGGCAAACAATATACATTAAAAACTAAGAATGCTTAAAAAAATTTTAAAAGTAGATTGCACAACTCATAGTTAATGTTTTAAGCTCTCCGTTTGCCTTCAAAATCTCAAATTTCAGATTTCTCATATCTTTAAAGGGGCACTCTAGTCTAGGCAATGTAACACTTCATCTCATTGTTGTCATGGAGCCTGTAGACCCCAGGCTCCATATCATTGTACATTGTTAAGTTGTTTATGAATAATTTGACACTGAATAAGGGTTTGGCAGATGTCTGTGTCTCTGCCACCTCTTGACATATGGCTATAGCAGAAAAAGAATTCAACAAATGCCAAATGCCGAAACAATGTGATATCCTGCTACTCTGTCATACATTGAAGGTGATATTACACTTATAGACCAGCAAAAATTTTATTTTATTTCATTTGTATTGTTTTTTATTTGCTTATTGTGTTATTATGTAATTTGTTATTTATATATATATATATATATATATATATAAATTAAGAATGTAATACAAAATAACAAATTATATATGTATGTGTGTGTATGCATACATTATGTATAGATGTTTTTCCATGTTACGATATGATACGTTGCTTGCTATTTATTAAATACAGATTTATTTGGATTATATTTCATGGAGTGCTGCAATATTATATTATTGGTGACTTCTATATTGTGACCACAAGAGGGAACTATTCTTTACTGAATTGCACCCGTTATTTTTGTCTCTTACGAGTCTAGTATTTCATTTGTGTGCTACCTCATACTAATGGTACAAGTTGAAAAGTAACATTTACAACACTGTTCCAATTGTTCTCTTTGACTCCGACCTCTCCTTCAAGCCTCATGTTCAATCTATCGCCAAATCCTGTCATTTCCATCTCAAAAACATTGCGCACATCTGCCCCTACTTAACGCCAGATGCGACTAAGGTGTTGGTCCATTCCACTGTCCTCTCTCGCCTTGACTACTGTAATCCGCTTCTCAGTGGTCTTACGTGCTCCCAACTAGCGCCGTTACAGTCCATAATGAATGCGGTGGCGAGGCTCATCTTCCTGTCCGCCCGCACCTCCCATGCCTCACCCTTCTGTCAGTCCCTACATTGGCTTCCTGTAAAATATAGAGCTCGATTTAAAATTCTGGTTCTTGCTTTCAAATCTCTACATAATGTTGCTCCCACCTATCTATCCTCCCTTATACACAAGTATGTCCCATCTAGGCCCTTACGATCTGCTGGAGACTTACGTCTATCTTCAGTCCGTACTCCCACCTCTGATGCTCGCCTTCAAGATTTTTCAAGGGCTGCACCGTTCCTGTGGAACTCTCTTCCCTCCTCCGTTACATGCTCACCCAGTCTCCACTCCTTCAAAAAATCGTTAAAAACCCACTTCTTCATAAAAGCATATCAATTAAACTGTTAATAGCTCCTGACTGATTCCTCTTCTGCAACTGTCACTAGTCTAATACTATCCTTACCTTTTTTTGTGTCATTTTACCCCACTCCCTCTAGCATGTAAGCTCATTGAGCAGGGCCCTCAACTCCTCTGTTCCTGTGTGTCCAACTTGTCTGGTTACAACTGCATGTCTGTTGGTCCACCCATTGTAAAGCGCTGTGGAATTTGACGGCTCTCTATAAATATCATAATAATAATAATAATAGTTATATCTTTGTTTACTTCTATAGTTTTAATCTAATTTTGTACAGATCTGATATCAGCATGGTAACCAAAATAAAAATAATAGCAATAAAAACATAAAATTGTATTTATTTTTATTTTTAATGTGTTGATCCTTTAATACAATTAAATTGAGCAAATACGTTTTTTTTTCGGTGGCAGTTTAAATTAATCAAGTCATCTTTAATTTCCACCTTGGCAGAAGGGCAGTAGGTGAATTGTGTTTTTAAGTACAAACTTGAGCTTTGATTCTCTGTCTTCATTCTGAAAAGTCAAAGAGTCTTTAAGTACAAATGTCTACAAGGATAGTACAGCAATGATAAATCTAATCATTAAATATTTTTATATTATTTTAAACACAACTGTATAATTTTTTTTGTTTCTGCAGTTATTGTAGAATATTGTTCTCAACATTTACTGTTAGATAGGCATTCCAATTGATTTATCTACTGAACTCACCATTAAAGTAGGTCAATCATTTGGAAATTGTTTCAAACATTATTAAATCATATGCAAAGCTTATTAAAATGTGGTTTAAATGAGGGCATGAAATGCTCTTCCACCCAGAAATTATTTAATATCGAGTGCTTGAAAAGTAATCGAAACACAAATGACAGATATCTTAAATATCTTGAATAGTTATTTTCCTCTTTTTGTTATTAATAATTTGCTTAGCACATTTTTCCCAGAAGTTAAAAAGACAAGCACTCAAATAATCAGAGAATTTGAATTATTATCAATACTGGACAATTACGACAAAGCTGATATATGTAGAAATACCAAAAATAAATATAAATTGAATAATGTAATAGATGTATAATATATATTGTGTATTTATATTGAACAAACAGAAAACACCAGGCTTTCAGAGAAACATAGTGACTAAATGATAGAAATAAGAAAAGCAATTGCGTAAAAAAATGACTGACCTGTGTGACCTTTACGAAAGAAGCACCAGGGTGTTTCAGAGACACTGGAATCATAACAGCAATGCCTCTGTAAGCATTCTTCACTGCTGATGCTTGGATATCCACATTCTTTCCTCTCGGACACATTCGAAGGACAATGGCCCCACGCTGCGAGAGGAAAAAAAAATACTTTACTAAATTGTTAAACATAATAACTTTCAACCTGTAGATGTTACATGTAATATATTTCCTATGGAATCATTAGTGGAATAAGATTTAGTACCTTTTTCACATGGAAATGTATACTCTGCCACAGCATATTCCTCTGAAAGAAGAAGAAATGATAGAAATATATATAGAGTTATATAAAAGTTGTATGTTGATCCAATAGTTCTATGTGTGTCTTTACATGTGTAATAACCTAGGTACTGATTTAATATGATTGGATATACTTTTCAAATAATTTCATATTTTTGGATAAACTTTGCAAATAATTAAATATGAAAAATATTTAAATTTTTTAATATTTCGATATTTTTCTTTGGATATATTGAGATATATTTGTATATAGATATATTTTTGGATACTTTAACATGTGGAAAACTATCATTTTAAAAGTTTAATCAAAAGTATTAAATGATTTGGGAAGCTTATCCAACAGTATTAAACCAGGGCCTTAATATCTTTGTGAACCTCCAAGGTCCGACAAACTGGGTGGTTTTCCCAGAAGATTACCAAGCCACTCACCAAAAAGTTATTTAACCTCCCTGTGTTCACTATTATGTATCTAACAAAATAGGTGAGTGTCAGCACATCTGTTTGATGTCAGTACTAATCAATATAGTTGGTTTGGTCTAACATTAGTGAAACAGCCAGACATATTGATTGAGGTAATCAAAAGGCTAAAAATAGAACTGGCTTTGTACATTAATTGCAAGATGGAATTACAGTCTGGGTGTGTGAGTAAACTTACATACCTGGTTCATAATAATCATAAACCATCACAGCAGCAGGACGCAGATTGTTCACATGTGTTATTTGTTTAATCGAAAACAATAAAGTTTGTGTGTCATGTGTAATCTGCAGAAACAGAAAACAATGTCACACATCCTAGATTAAAAACATGAGTGTCAAATGTGCTATAATCTACTATTACTACTGTTACACTTTATTATGTTATATATACTGTAAGGTTTAAGATTTGTAGTTCTATGCTACTAGTCAGTATACAGTATACAACATGCTCCCATAAAGTCCATGCATTATTATTCTTAATATTAAGAAAAACATTTAGACAAATAAAAAAAACAGGGATTAAAGTATCAGGTTTAGTGAATTAAAACAGATTGAGATGTAAGAGTGTTTAAGTTCCTAATATGCAAGCTTTGATTGTCAGAAAACAAACAAAAACATAAAATGCCACCTACAAGATGCTGTAATGGATCTTTCTGAATTTAATTAACTAAACTTTTGGAAAAGATAAGAGGACCAGATGTTTACTGGTAGTATTAAGTAGTAGGGTAATATTTATAATGTGATTTACAGCTACCCGGTCCCCGTTGATTTTCAGAATGGAGGATAGTGACAGGTAGAATAAAGGAAGATGCCTATGTGATTTGGCACATCACATTAGCAAGTAAAAGGCTGCATCAAATGGCTAGGATGGGTGAAAAATACACAGGATAAATGATAAGAAAGGAAGGATTGAAATAGAAGTGTGAACAAACAGGTGGACAGACGAGAGTAATATGTATAAAGCACAACTTGATAATTTAACAAAATACAACAAACAAAAATATCTTATTTGAGTTCTATGCTGTGCCAGTAGCTTTCTTACCTCACTCAAGTAAATGATAATTTTGTCTTCTTTGATTTCAGTTTTTTTCACATTGGGGTTATTTAATAACTGACAAAGAAAATTACTGTAAGATTAAAGCACACCACTTTTTTTTCATAAACGGTCACCATACAATTATAGGCATCACACATAAGCCATAGTATAAGGATCCATGTCCCATTCCCCGGCGCACAACATTTTATGACTGCAAACAATAACTGCATTTATAAGCCCAATTAAAATACCTGTCCATACCAACACTTTTATCTATAAGAGGTTGCACAGTAGAGTTTTCTTAAAGTTATCATTCAGGTGTTCTACTATATTCTACTATAGAAAACTGGCTACGAAACTAAAATGGCCATAAATCAATGCTATGCAGAGATTTGTGGGATTAACACATCACAGTCTTCAAAACTACAAGAGCATCATTTTTTTTATGCATTACCTAAATAGATCATTATATTTTATTATAGGAATGACTTATTTTCCTTTTGTCATCCATGTGATGCTTAGTTTGTTGTCTAAGTATCAAGGTAAAAATAGGTAAATACAGCACTGCATCATACACTGTGATTATGTTATTCTACCATCCACTAGATTACCTGCTAATAAATTAATAAAAAATATACCATTGGATTTACACAGTTATTGGCTTTAGAAAATGTTAAAAATGCTTTGAATTTTCAGTGTTTCGTTTCTATTTTACAAAAAAAAAAACAGGTCCTGCACTCAGGACTTGTTTTTTTGTATTTGTATTCACTTTTTGTATCACACAGCTATGTTACAATGCTGCCGCCCATCCCATGTGGGTTAATAAGTATATAGGGGTGTATATAAAAAATACCCCTTTCTGTCTTATTAGAGATATCTTTGCCAGAGGCTCAAGGAAGCAAGGTGAAAGGTCAGTGTAGGACCCACCTGAGGGGGTTTACCTTGATGTGGCAGGCAGGCATTCCCTCCAATGGCCATTGGAGTAACTAAATAACCTCCATTTGTTTAAATATACATAGGGATTTAAGAGAGAGCGTAGGTAATTTTTTATTTGGTTTCTATTGTAATTGAAAGGTTATTTATATAAAAATGTCCGGTTAACAACAATAATAATTAGCATTCTCTCCTAGCTTTGAAATTGCATTCTAATTTCATTTTTTGAGGAAACTTGCTTGTTTGTTTCATATTTTTTTTACATATCTTCCCATTTATAGTCATAATAAATGTTCTTTCGTATAATTAACATAATGTATTGTCATGGGTTGATCTCTAGATCATTTCTGGACAATCTGTGTATATGTTTATTTCTCACCAATGTAACACTGCTCTTTTTAGGAATGAATCCTGACAAAAGCTCAGCCTCAACAATGACCATATTGGATGAAACTCGGTTCCCAGTGTAACTATAAAAGAAATAAATATTAAAGGAGAAAATAATTATTTGTATCTTTCTTGATGATCCTGTAGGGGTGAAGTGTTGAGTGCGGTTCACGATGCTTTCTGCTACAACTTGAATTAATTTGATTTTCTTGGAGAGAATCTAGACATTTACTTAATGATTTGATAACCTGGAATGGTGGGATCTATTTGGAATTTAGGTCTCGAATTTACTTAGCTAGCAATATTTTTGAACATTACAGTGTCCCTGTTCCTATCCCTTTATAGGTTCTCCCCCAT